CATTAGCACCTCTAGTAATATATTTACTGAGAAAAATGGTGACGTGTTCAATACTTATTTTACCCACTGTACCTTACATTGTTTTTTCAGTTTAACTGTTCAAATGTACCCCACACTTATTATTGTCCTCCGTCGCCGAAGTGGGGGACAATAGAAATGCTCTCGGTATGGTTCGTCTGTTCGTCCATGACGAGGGACATCAGTGATGGTTGGCATCGAGCTCTATATTGTTGTTATTATTAAAGTTATCATTATTATTATTAGGTGTAGGTTTAATCTAAATGAATGATTCATCTTTCTTAATATTTATGAGATGACAATGAACGCCCTTGATGATTGTCAGGAAACAGATTTTGTACCGTATACCAGAACACAAGTGACTAAAGAATGTCATTCATTCGTTCAAACTTATCCATGCTAATAGTCAGACTCAAAAATTATAGTGTGGCTACACAATAACTTACGTGTGGCCATGTGTTAGCTATTGCATAATTTTTAAGCAATAGATGGGCTTTGTTGATTTTTCACTATCTTTGGAAACTGTTAGCAAACCAATTAGCTTACACTGTATTAGATTTTGCCAACTTTACGTCCGCTAACAGCTAACTAACAAGCTAACATCCACAGGTTTGTGTCAGTCCACCAGTCTTCAGCTGGAAGGAGACAAAGACATGAGACACAGACTGACAGACATCTTGGCAGTTAGTAATAATAAGATGTGCAATATTTATTGTGGTTCAGAAGTTATCAACATAACAAAGTGCAATAACATCTGGGAACATTGTCTGTCATACACAGCTATTTGATGATGAACAACAAAAGTTTTACGCTTTCTGTCTTGATAACTTTAGCACCAAAATAGATATTGTTGCAATCCTTTTCAGGTCTTTAATAGTGGACCAATTTCCTATTGGAAACATTTWGACTTTGATCCATTATGACAGCTTTCTAGATTACAGCCATGTTCCAGACAGTCTAAGAAACGTCCCCTCTCCCATTACTTATTGACTGAAATAAAAGGGTTTCCTGAGCCTTTTGYCTCACCCTGTGTATTTAAACATGTATGTATGTGTAATACTGACCTCGTTACGTGTACATTTTAGGATGTTCTTAGACATCAGATCAAACAGCCTCAGACAAGACAAAAAAACATTACATTTCATTTAAAACRTGATMAGACCTCTGAATAAATAGCATCAGATGAAACAATTTTGCCCATGATGAGGAGATGTAAACTTCTGACTACAACTTTACTAGAGCTACTGTGTATAAGATACTTTTCTCTATGTACCACTGTTGTTCTTGTCTATGAAAATATTCATTTGAAGTGTTAAGCCACTAGTTAGATTCAAATGTATCATCTCATGTTCTGTTTCCTGGCCCAATATAACTATCTGTATTGATAAAGTTGCAGATTATTGGAATCAGGCCAACACTGGATAACAGTTATTTGCAGTAGAACTTGTGTTTCTATATTATGATTTAAAATGCAGCTTTTTTTACTTTGCACCAATTAGAGGGCCTTTTTCCACGCTTGTATTTGGACCACAGTAATCCCTTTTCTACTGGGGGAACATGTGGATTATGTCGGCACACAAGGCCCCATGATAGCAGAGTTCAAGGTTGTTGAAGGCCTATTTGTCGGAATGATTAAAACCAAGCCAAACTTCAAAGWGCAAGGTAAACCACTGGGTGTTTTCCTTCAAGAGTAAAATTAAAAATTATATATTTCTGCCTTGATGAAATGGTCTTCTGGTTGTTTCAGTAACAAGAACGTGGATCCTTGCTCTCCTCTTGTTGCTCAGAGCGTTATCCTCTTGTTTTGTCTCTGTTTTGTCCCCTGTGACTAAATGTGCTCTGACTGAAAGCCAGACTCACTTCTGTTCTYTCCAGGCAGTGTTGGCTTTCATAGAGTCAAGGATTTTAGAGAATATACACTGCTGACATGAAAACTGGCTCAAAGTGGGGCGGAGCTGCAWTTTAGCTGTCTATTGGTGGACAAATGTTACCAGTATTGATTAATATTTAACAGTTATCTGAACCTACAGATGAAAACTAAATTAATTTGTTTATTTAAAGGGATCCCCACAATCTTCACCATAGTGAAGACCATTCTTCCAGGGGTCACAGTTATGGTGTTACCAATGGCAGCAGATGGAGGACTTGTTCCTTAAAGATATTTCCAGCTAGTTATAACACTAGATGTTATTTGATAAATATTTTCTTTAACTATGTCACCTTAGAAAAACTGTAGGTTGTTGAGTTTGTATAGATTAAAATTAAATTTATTTATTGTCACACGGACATCACCATGTTTTTTTATGCCGCGAAGCATACTGCCAACTCAACTGCTCCAAAATACAGGACGGATCCACCGGGGGGCGGGGCTTAATGATGTCATGTGTCACTTGTGACTTTACCACAAAGTAGTAGCCTATATGCCATGGCTATTAATGACGTACTTTTGTTAAAATTCAGGCCACAAGCATCACTTCTGGATCCTGCCTACTGCACATTGTTTTTAGCGTTAGCTCCTAGAACTAGACCATGAAAAAGTCATAAAAGTTAAAGCATCTGTGAGCTACTGGTATAAAAGGTGAATTCTGTTGTGTGCCGTTGTGTCCACTAACCAACAGGTACAAGAGAGTAATTGGTAATGGTAATGGTAATTGGGGATGGGTACAACCCAGGTAAGCGGGGGCCTCATAAGTGGGCCCATTGCTCTACCAAAAAGATACTGGGCTTTAATCAAACCTTTTGGTCCCTCGGATGAAGGACACCAGGTTAGAAACCCTCAGTGTTCTAAGCTTCTT